ACTTGGTCACAGTAAAGTACAATGATAGCTGGAATAAAGTTACAGACACAAGTTTTCTGAACTCACCAGGTAGTTCAACCTCCTCGCTTTCTTTTCTCTAAGTAATGTCCAGTTTTGTCAGTTTTTTTATATAAATATGAAGTCGTAGTCCGGCAGAGCTAACAACAACAGTGGAACTCCAGTGAAGATAAATCAACATTGAAATCCCAAAAACTAAAGTAAAAAGCTAATTTAATAAAAGCAGTTAACTCTGAGCTCCTCCTGCGAGTAAACGGTGTAGTTGTCAGAGCAGAATCCAGACCGACTACGGGTGTTTATTTGTCCAAAGGTTGCAGTGCTGCTCCCTGCTCCTCTCCCCCAAATTTAGCAGCTCTCAGCCGGGCAGCAGATTTTCAATCCCCCGCTCTGTCCGGCCCTCTCTACACATCGCTCTGAAGCCGTCGGTGACGTACGGACAATCTCAACACTGATAAGCTATCGCGACTCAGCGTCATGTGACTTTCTCGCTTCAGTTGAAAATATTCAACTCACACGAATTCCTTTGCGGTGCCAGCCCTGCCCCCTTTGCGTCGCTTCGCGACGCCCGACAGGGCTCTGCGGGTCTTTGTATGTAAACTCATCACCCCAAACGCTCGCTTCGCTTTTGGTCTGAAAGCGCCATTAGTCCTATATGAGAAGATAAAATACAGCAGATTAGTGCTGAATGCAGGGGATGCTCTGATTTATATTTCAGTCTAATAATTAGTCGTCAGCAGCTGTTTGCGCTCCGTATTATACTAGCAGCTGAATTGGTGTGATGCGCAGATCAGCTCCGTAACCTTCCAGGTGATTTCTTTATTGATGTATCTGTGTTTTCTTTTAAGATTGACATTAATGGTCAGAGAGGCTGCTGATCATTAGATGTCATTTTAAACGTTTCCATACACACAGTAATGATATAGTAAATATTGTGGGACATCTAAGCAGCAAACCAAAAAACTTGACAGGACAGACAGAGGAAACTCTCGAGAGGAAAGAGAAGTAAACTTTCAGCTCGCATAATGTTTAGACACTCTGATGGAGTATGCTTCATATGTTTCCCCAAGTGTGGACACTGATCGGGGAAAAGTTTTTCAGGTTGAAATGAGGGTTGCGACAGTGTAATCAGATGTGTCCGCATGGTCCTAAAGCCTTGGTCCGGACCTCAGTGACCTCATAGCTGGTTAGGCCATGGTCATAGCCCACAGGATTACACTCGATGGAGGTGAAAGTGACTGTTTTTAAATTAATCGCTCTCCCCTAACCCAATCACTGTGTTCAGTTAAACACAGCACACATCTGTCTTTTTTATCTTTTCACTGCAGGTCTGCATCAACATTTACCAAGTTATTACTTTAAAAAGTAACAGCAGCAGTTTTTCACACTATGATGATTAAACCTTGCAATGAGTCCGCGGTTCACCTGCATACCAAAGCATGCGGGTGGTCCGTACAGATCACGGATCAACTACAAACCATTACACCAATAGAAAGGGGTATCTTGAAGTTCTGCCTTTTGATATATATTTGGCTTACACTTTTCTCCTACACTTGTGGTTTTTTTTGTTGTTTTTTTTTTCTTTAATTGTGATAATAAAGACAAAGAAAACGAAAAAACATTTTATGGCCAGAGAACAGCACAGTATATGCAATAAAGTCTCTTCAAACTAAGGTACACAGGAACTTAGTAGTCTTGATATACTGGTCTCTATATAGACCCCTCTATATTTTCCTTATACAGTCGTAACCTACAGGCTTCTTTAGTCCACCCTCAAAACTTTTTACAAGTGTTGTCACACTTAAGCTTCTGCTTTTAAATCATCAAGGCAGTATTTAGCTCTGTCCTTCAAACTTCAGCTCAAAAAAAGCTGAAAAAGCAGAGCTTTTTAAATACCAAATCTAACATGCTTCCTTATTACCATTTCCACCCGATGACAGAACCACTTTCAAATTCATGAATGAGTCATGAGGCTGCAGATCTTTTGGTCACTGTCATTGTATTTCAATATATGCGTGTTATGGTGGAAACCACAAGGTAACCCGTGTATGAAGTCCTCAGGGTGCTACGACAGATGAAGAACTCATCATGTTCAGATAGCTCCATGTGCACTGAGGATGTGCATTTGGTCGGTTTGGCCTCATTACAGTTTCAAGGAACTTTATCAGTGTTAGTCATGAAAGTTTAAATGAGTGGTTCAAGACAACTACTGGGACTCTCATGGCATTGTAAGTGTTTTAATAATATTTTTCTTCATACATACAGTGGCTTCAGAACGTGAAAATGTATAACTCCAAAATAATAATAAATCATGATAATGTAAATAATAATGGCAGTTTGGTGGTCATCAATAGGTGAATGACCAGTTTGCCATAGAGCCCATTAGGCCTTTTCCTCTGTGGTAACTAAGCAACCCCTAAGCCATTGTCACAGGTTCCGCTTTTGTTTCCATTGCACTCTGCCCACATTGTGGATGAGTTCCTGTAAGTCTAGTTTTGGCATTGCATAGCAGGTGGTACTAAATCCACATTCCAGATAATCACAGGGGCATAGAAACGGCTTGCTTGCAGAAGCAACATGGCATTAATAACACAGGACGTTTAGATTAGCACTGTAAGGAAGCATGTTTCAATATGTTACATTTTTGTTATTCATTTGTCTGTGTAAACTGCAAACTGATTGTTTACACAGTGTTGTGGAGTATGCTACAAATATAATATTTTCCACTAACATTCAAGTGATGTTGGTATTTCCAATTCATATAACATTTTCAAAAGTGAGGTTTTTTTCCCCAACTATATAACAGGACAGTGTGACCAAACACTACACTACACAAAAAGCGCTCAGAACTGAGAACGGATTGCACTGCATCCCTTAATTTACATTTACATTAAGGGCATTCCAGTTTTGCATTGTTGTTTGTTGACAAGTACACTCGCCTTTCAAAAAAGTGCATAAAAAAGACAAGATTTGTCCTGGTCTGGTCTTGGTTTAGTGATGTATTTTACAATGCAGAATGTTTTGAATATACAAGGTAGAACCTAGAACCAAAGACTTACAGGTTATTCAAAATTAAGGTTATGGAAAAAATTTTGGATGGTTAGGTTCCCATAGTGAATAAGGCCCTACTTGCATACAAGATGATATCGTCAGCAACAGTGTAAGTGGTCAACAGTAGAACTAGATTTCTAATTAGGGTCCATGTTGTATTAAACTGCAAATAACTAGTGCTACAAGACTGACTACAAACACACTTATACATAGATACAGCATCCATTTTTCTTTGATAATCCGTGACAGTATGGTCTCTAAGGTTGGTTAGGGAAGGACTTGATGTTGATCCCTTGTTGTTTCAACTGCACTTGATCTGATCCTTACATCTGATCCTAACATCTATCTGCAGGCGAAGCCCAGCAGGCTCCACTGCTCCCACTGTGACGAGACGTACAGTCTTCCCCAGAATGGAGCCATCAAGCTGTATAAAGAGCTCCGCTGTCCACTGGATGACTTTGAGCTTGTGCTGTGGACCTCTGGGTCCCGGGGCAAGAGCTACCCCCTATGCCCATACTGCTTCAGCAACCCGCCTTTCAGGGATATGAAGAAAGGTAGGACACAACCTGGGTGTTATCTTGTGGTAATTCTTGTGGTTGTTAGATAGTGGCTAATCAGCTGGAGCCTTGTAACCCCTGACAACAAACATGAAACCAACCATAAAACTAGTCATTATTGCTTTGTAAAGTTTTGTTAGATGATGATGAATTATCATGAAAAATTATGACCTTTTTTCAAAAAAAAAAATGTAGGCGCCTATGAAAAACAATCTCAGTACTGTTTCAGGTAGGGAAACAAAACATCAACCACAAAGTGATCTGTATGTTCAGTATAGAGATGATTTTCCTTTTATATTTTCTGCACACTTACAGCCAGTTTGGAGAGCCCCAGTATGTGCGCTATGTTTGGGAATCCTGTGGATCAAGGGATTGGAGTTAATTTCACTATTCATGACAGGACAGGAAAAAAGTAAACGGTAGCTGGCGTAACGGGAATCTATGAATAAACGCTATTTTTGAAGGAACTGTAAAAACTCTACAGGCTGGAATTAAACTTTTCTTTCCTTTTGTTAAGATATTTTTGTGTGTTGGGCTGCATTTACCTCAGTATTAACATCCATATCAAAAGCATCTCCACGTCCTCCACTCTGAGCTGCTGCTGGACCTGCTGCTCCTTCCTTTCTCTCTCTTGCTGCCTCCCTCTCTCTCTTTGGTTTGCTTTAATTATATCACTTCATCTCCTTTTCAATTCCAATGAGTGTGTTTAGTGTTTTCTAATGCATTAAGAATTATATATGCTAAGGATTCAAATATAATTTAGGAGTAATATTATTACTAATATTAACTGTTCAGGTGGAGTTAAATCGCAGCCAAATTTTGTATTCAAGATCAGAGCTCTCCTTCATTTGCAGTATGTGTCTAGTATGTGTCAGTACCGGGTTCAGTCCAGAAGCTGACTGCATAATGAGCTTCTGTCTTACTGAATCAGGTGCTGAATACACGCTTAATGTGGCCTCCTTCTTAATAATAATAAGAAGTAAATCTGGCCCTTATCGTAGTCTTGGTCTTATACCTTGTCAGGTGCTGATGCGTCTCTAGCAAGTGAGTTAAACAATTTAAACCCAGGAAGCAGCAGGACCAGACAGTGTCAGTGGCTGGGTCCTCAAATTATGCACACCCAGCACACTGGACCAACTACAGTTTGCCTACTGTCCCAACCGATCAACAGAAGACGCCATAGCACACGTCCTCCACACAACCCTATCTCACCTGGACAAGAAATGTAGCTCTGTGAGGTAGCTGTTCATTGACTACCGTTCAGTGTTTAACACAATAATTCCCTACTAGGCTTGTCACAAAGCTCAAGGACCTGGAGTTAAACACCTCACTTGGATCCTTGACATGCTGATGGGCAGACTCCAAGTGGCGAGGATGGGTGGACACACCTCTTCCACTAACACTGAAGCACCCCAGGACTTCAGACTCTTAACACCATTATCAGTTTTGCTGATGACACAGCTGTGGCCTAATCAAAGATAAGAACAATGAAAAGGTCTACCTGAAGGAAGTAGAGGCCCTGAATTATCACTGTTATCAGAATTATCACGGTATTGTTAAAATGTGCTGAAAATGCTTGTAATACTACTCATAGACACATTGAAACCATTTCACCAAGTTTCATATTGAAAACCAAAAAATAGATTTAGCAGCACTGTGCACATATTCTGCGAATAAACATACTAATACCTACAGTGGTAGGGGACCATGTACAAGGCTGAGTCCGCAGCGGCCCGGGTTCGAAAGCATCCTGTGGACCTTTGCTGCTTGTCTTCCCCTCTCGCTCCTTCGTTGCCTCTCTATCCTATCCACAATAAAGGCAAAAATATCTTTAAATAATACCTGCCAATACCTTATGTAAACACCATCATGAAAGTGTGTGCATTACATTACATTAAAAGGTGTTAGTTATGAAGTATGACCCTATGAACAATTTACATAAATACAGATGATTCTTAAGAAGACAGTGACAGTAATTGCAATGAGCCCAGCAAGTGAACTGTGCATAGAAATCCATAGAGTTTCTCCTGTTGGAACATTTTAACAATGATGGCTGGGTTTTAAATCAACATTGGTTGGGAGATTAAACTATGTAACATGTTATCATGAGTAATGGGTGAATTGTCAGGCTTGTCACCAGTACTCAAATGTAGACTGGAGTTAGCCAATTTTGGAATTATTGGTCATTTTTGGCGATTTACACACTTTGTACTTTAACAAACTCCTCCTAGGGAATTAGTCCGATCATCTTCAAATTTTCACTGGGTCTAAACCCATTGACGATTAAAAGTTGTAACGGATATTACCACTTTGCCCGTGGCGTGCTGTCAAAAATTGTTGATTCACCATGAAACAGGAAGTTGTTGTAACTTCAGTGTGCATGCTCACATCTGCACTAAATTTGATATGTATAATAAGAGTCCCGCCCTGAACACATCCACATGCCAACATTCACTCAAAGCCAAAGCGCCACCAACAGGAAATGACACGTTTTATGTTGTAATGTACTACTGCTAGCAGGTTGAACATATCAACTTTAGAACTGTCCCAGAAAACCCTTAACACATTGATGAAGCTATGTTGTAAAAGTTGTGAGTTAATGGCGCGGGGGTGGCATGGCTGCAAAGTTCCACCATGACACAGGACGTTGTTGTAACTCGACTGTACATGCTCAGATCAGAACAAAATTTTACACTTTTAAAGAGTCCCGCCCTGAACACATGTAAATGCCGACAGTCACCCACAGTCATAGCACCACCTGCTGGCAACATGACGTGATTTTCAACGAAGCAGCCCCCGCGGCACATTTTACCTACATGTACGAAATTTCTGTGGCACATGTATCATGTCCAGATGTCCAAAAAAAACCTCATGGAGCGATGCCCTGAACACAACAGGAAGTCGGCCATTTTGAATTTTATGGATTTTTTGGGATTTTTTACACACTCCATAATTTAATGAAGTCCTCCTAGAGAATTAGTCCGACCGACTTCAGATTTGTGCTGTGCAGTCTAAAGCCATTGACGATTAAAAGTTGTAAGAACGGAGAGTTTTCGTGAAACAGCATGCCCGTGGCATCCAAAATGGCGATGATTCGCCATGAAAGAGGAAGTTGTTTTAACTTCAGTGTACATGCTCACATCGGCACCAAACTTCTGAACAAAATTTTAGACGCTTAATAAGAGTCCTGCCCCCAACACATATACATGTTCAGTTATAGTCGTAGTGCGACAAAGCGCCACAAAGCGGGGACACAGGAAGTGATGATTAACAGGTTTGTGCAGTGTTCGAAGCCCGTGGCAAATTCACAGCCACACTGTCAGAGCTCCAGAATCTGCAACGCGGCCGCCTCACACCTCAATGCGCAACACATGCAAGGGCCCGCCCAACGCTGCTTGCAGCTTTTATTGCTATATATGTCTTATCCATTATCACCCCATATTAATGGGTCCTCTGTGGAGAGGGTGGACAGCTTCAAGTACCTTGGTGTCCTGCAAAGAGTATTTCTTTCGACTGAACATACAATAGCTTGTGCTCTGCCCTGGATTAAGGCTAGGAAAATCTTTAAGATCCTAAACACCCAGGATCACTGCCTTTTTCTCCCTGCTGCGGTCGGGAAGAAGACACCAGATACACCAGGCCAGAAGAGAGGCTCAGGAAAAGCTTCTATCTTCAGGCCAATAAGATCCTAAATGAGGACACTGCCTAAGACTGCCCCCCCCAATCATCCACATATATTTATTAATATTCCTTTAACTCTTTTTAATGCATACATTGGGAACTGGCAGGATTACATGTAACAAATGAATGTGATTGATAAATTGCCTTCTGACCTCTGACATTCTGACCCCTTTTCCCAGGTATGGGATGCAATGAATGTACCCATCCGTCTTGTCAGCACTCTCTCAACTCTTTGGGCATCGGACAGTGTGTGGAGTGTGATACTGGGGTTTTGGTGCTGGATCCAACATCTGGACCCAAATGGAGGATGGCTTGTAATAAATGCAACGTGGTGGTGCAGTTCTTTGAACATGCACACAGAGTGCAGGTAAGAAAACGGTCGTACATCTTGTCCTATGTCAAGATAATCCTACATATAAAACCCAGTGTCACATAGAAATTACTTTACAGGCCCATAACAGCAATCACACGTAGTGCTCTGAGTATCCAGCCTGTTGGCTTTCATTCCACCCAAACATATGAGCAGCTTCTGGCTGATTTCTCTCGAGTGCAACAACACAAGACACAGCAAGCCAGCTAATACGTTTTTAGTGACTCGTCCAACAGTAAGCAGACCAGCCCGGCATCTGTCCTGCATCCTTTTTGAGCTGTTTTAACTCATGCCAACGAGTAAAAGCCAGTCTGATTGTCTGGTATTGAAACTGCTCTACGGCTGACAGGAAGGCTCTGCAACAAGTAGTTAAATCTACTAAGAAAATAACAACAAACAACTGCCTCCCTTCCCTAGATGACATCTATGTCAGCAGGTGCAGAAGCAGGGCATCAGGTATCATGAAGGACTCCACTCATCTGGCGCATAAACTGTTTGCCACTCTCCCCTCTGGCAGAAGGTTGCGCAGCCTTAAAGCAAGAACAACAAGGCTAACGTGCAGCTTATTTACAGAGGCTGTGAGACTCCTCGGCTTAGAGCTCCTCTTGCCCTTGCACGATTATTGCTGCTACTGCACAAGGCACTTTAATGATGTCATATGGTCTTAACTTTGGTTCAACCATGGTTTTAATATTGTTTTTATTATGGTTAAGATTACTTAATGTTTTATATAGGGTCTATCTTAAAATTGTTATTTATTCTGTACACTGCTGGACCTGGGAAAAGAATTTCGTTCCTTTATGTTTTACATGTTTGAATGACAATAAAGAACTGAACTGATATTTACTCCTGTTCAGTCTCTTGCTCGGTCACACTCTCTTTTTCTCTTCCTTGCTTCCTCCGATGTCTTTCTTTGGTCTCTTTGTAGTCTCTGCCATCATATCCATACTGAGAATACGGAGCTAGCGTCTTCCAAAGAACTCACATTGTACATTCTATACTTTTGGCTTCTTCTTATATCTCGCTTGCTGAAGAGTTTTATTGAAGTGTTGTGTATTCAAAGTTTTATCATTTCAGTTCTTACAATTTCTGCGGTTTTCTCTCTTCCCATAGGTTGTTCAAGAGAGCTGCGATGTCTGTGACGCCTCTCTGGTCGCGGTGGACTTCAACAAGACTCGCACTCCACTTCCTGCAGGCGAGACCCAACATACCGGCTGTGTTTTCTGTGATCCGGTTTTCCAGGATCTGGTGGAGCTCAAACATGCCACCATGAGGCATCGGGGAGGGGGTGCAAGACGAGGAGGACGGGGACGGGGCAGGGGACGCCGTAACAATCCTAAAAAACCTAAAGACAAAATGGCTGCCTTGGCAGCTTACTTTGTATAGTGTCTGTGTATAGTGCATCTTGTTATTTGCTAGACACCTAATAGGTGTAAATGGACTTCTGTTGTTTAATTTTGTTACATACAATACATATTAGCATAATTTTTCACCATCATAAAAATTCATAAAAGTTCATATACACTGTACAGTATGTTGTCAACTTGAAAATACTGTTTTCAAGGATCAACATTATAGAAAATGTCCAAATTTTTGAGTGCTACATTTTTGAAATTTCAACAGATTGAGCTTTGAGATTAATTTAACAGGCATGCCAGTAACATGCTAAGACATACAGTTGATATGTAAACATGGGCTTGTATCATGCTATAACATGACACAATTATTCCATTTGCACAAAGACATGTTCCATGTCATGCAAATGTTTAGTAACTTTTAACATGTTGACAATAAGTTTCATTAAGTAATAATAATAATTAAACTGATTATTTCCACTAATGCTCTTTGTCAAAAGTAGAAGTGTAACAATACAATTACTCAACTTGTCGATCAATAAAAAAGTATTTGACAACTATTTTGATCATTGATTCATTGCTTTAGTCATTTGTTAACCAAATGCCACACATTCACTGGTTCCAGGTTCTGAAATTTGAGTATTTAATGCTTTTCTTTAAACTGAATATTTTGGGGTTTTGGATAGATTCGGGAAATAGTTTTAGATTTTAGATTTATTCACAGCATTTTCTGACATTTCACAGACAAATTGATTAGTCAAGAAAATCTGCAGATTGATTAATTAAAATGAATTTCCCTTTTTCTTGTAACATTTATGTATGGCGTGATAGTTATTTGTGGCATAATAAAATAATACTTTATTTACCATTTTCTGTCTTAATTACCTATTTCTTTTTTATGTGGAATTCATCGTATAAATGTCATCGTATAATATGGGTATGTTCCTTTAAATTTACCGGGGGTGACGTACAGGAAGATGGTCCAATAGGGTGTTTTCTCAACAGAGATTTCTCAACAGTATCTGTAGTACGTTGTGATTGTATTACTACCATCAGGTCTACCAACGCAGGTTTGTGTGTGTTTATCAATGAATGTCTGTTGCTCTTTGTGTTCGTTTCCTTTAGCTGTCCGTCTGTAATTTGTCTACGCGAAACACCAACGTTATGCTAAAGGGCTGTTCCAGTTTATTTAGCCTCAGGTAAAATGAAGAAACTAACGTCTGCTAGTCTGGGAAATGATAAATTAACTTAAAAAGTAGCGTTGATCCATCCCTTAATGACCAACGTCAATTGTTTGTTGCTGACTGCTTGCATCACAGTGCAACATTAATGTTTCACAAATGAAGATAGCTTACACACGTTTGTGCATGTACATAACGTTACATGCCAGGACACGTAAAATCACACCGTGTTTAACGCTACATTTTGGGAACACAAAATAAGTTTACGCAGAACTGTAAAGTTGCTTAACGTTAGGTTGTATGCGTGTGGTAGCTAACGGATATGTGTCGACAGCTTGGACACATGCCCCTCTCATTGGTGTGGAAATAATACAGTACAATTAACGTTACTGTGCTAACGTTAATCTCTAACGTTAGCCAACCGTTAACTTCGTTTCAGCAGGAACGTTATTAACGCTAAAGACGCAAACCTGCCGCCCAACATAGTAAAAGTTCTCCATTCTGTTAGCTGTAAGTTAGCTTCCGGTTCGGCAATATAGGGGAAAGTTTAGAGAAACCTCAAGTTGCAATACTGAGCGACCGAGCATACCTTTTTCGCACCTCTCAGCTGTTATACGTTTTCGGTAACGATAAATCCCTACCGCTGTCACAACGTCACATTCCAAGGAAAACGCGCCCATGAGGGCAAAAAATACGTTATTTTCCGCTGTCTGCCAAGCAATAAGCAAAAATAAACTGTTACTTTGAATTGCTGGAAATACTGCAGGTTGTTGTGCTTTCGGATGCACTAATCGAGGAGAAGATAAGCCTGAACTGTGTTAGGTGAGGGATTCCCCATAAGGTAAACGTAACATTATTACCGCAGTCGAGCAGAGGCAGGGACCTGGGGGTTTTTAACGTCAGAATTGCGGCAGCGGATGTTATATGGATCGGAAATCCCCAACACTTGCAGTTTGTGTTCATATCTTTATTTTTGTTAAGTTGAAAGGTGATCCAAATACAATTTGACTGCTCTTGCGGATGTGGTCACACCCGGGTATTACCCGCTATGTTGGTCTGTTGTTTTGGTCATCGCGCATGTCATGTGAATGAAAACTATTCTATTCAAGCAACGGCTTCTGGCTTCTAGTTTAAAAACAGAAGGCTCCTAGTTGGCTCACTGCAGTCAAGCCAGCCCTCATGCTGTTCTACGATGCGTGTTTTTTGTAGGCATTACGGTAACATCGTGTCGCAGCCCTTTTTATATACAGTCTATTGTCGCAGCACATTTCAAAATAAAAGTGAGCTTCTGCTGAACATAGTACAATTGGTGTGGCAGAAACGATTAAATAAATAAATGCTAAATCTAAAGAAAGTATTACATTTTCATAGAAAGATTACTAAATTCAGCCAAGATTCAAACTGATTTAAAAAGCATAACATACCACCTCAGGGTGTCCCTCTGTCAATATCAGAGCGATCTGATGTATATTTTAAAAGATAAAGCCCTTAAAAATGTCTAATATCTTCACTGAATTTACTGATTTTAGAGTGGTGTAAAAAGAAAACCTCCTGTTGCCACTAACTCATTTCACTTTGAAATTAAAGCCCTATAAAATGTCTTATATTTTCACTGAATGCCCCCTGAATTCAGTTTGATGGTAAAAACCCCCCACAAAGGTTACGATATGGTAACCCTAGTTCTAAAAACACAGTCGGATTCTTCGACTGGACTTTATGGGTATTACCACCTCCAATCACACCCACACATCTCCCACTGAAATTTGAATTGCGCACGTAGATGACCATTAGAGCATCACTACAGATACCTGAGTACTGTATTATAGCAGTGTCCCTACTGCAGACTAACCCTTCAGCAGACGATGGAGTGGCAGGGCCCATCAGTAGAGGGCTCTGCCTGTGCTTATAGAACTAGTTACCACATCGTGACCTTCATGCTTTCTCACACAGGCTTCACCCCCGACTTGTCTCTATAGGTACAGTGGGTGGAGCCCCATGACTGATCAGTGCGTCCGATGGGGGCTGCGCGAGTTAAATGACCAGTTTGAATCTTGGGGAATTCAGTAAAAATATTAAACCTTTTCAAGGGCTCTATCTTTTAAAACCTACATCAGATCGCTCTAATACTGACAGAGGGTCTCCCTGAGGTGGTCTGTTCTCACAGTGAAGTGAAATGAGCCAGTGGAAACAGAAGTTTTTTTTTTACATCAGTTTGAATCTTGGCTGAATTTAGTAAGCTTTCTGTGAAAATATAATACTTTCTTTAGATACTTGTACTACGCATCGCAAAATAGCGCGAGGGCTGGTTTGACTGTCGTTTTCGAAGTGGAGGCTGGCTTGACTGCAGTGTTGTCTCGTGCTATTTAAGGGAGACAGTTTACGCTAAGATGATAAAATAAAACGTGTGGTAAAAATGAGAATACTCAATATGTATTTACTATCATAAATGTGAAATAAAAATAACATTTTTGACTTATGAGGCACGTTAATAAGTCAAAGTCACTACATCAGTAGAGGTAACATTAGCTTTTCAGTTGTATTTCCTGGTGTGCTGTTACAATATTATAATAATGATTTGACAACATTATTATAATGTCACTTTCTCACAATAGTGTTACCAGATGTGGGAATTTAAATGTCTGTCATGTGGATACTGCATTAATTCCCCATCAGAGTCAAATTTTCTCTATACTTTCTCTGCCCGTAAAATCTCCACTAGTGCCCTGTGAGCCCTGACCTCCTTTTTTTTTACCTGAGATCTTACTGCAGCCAGAGTCTGTGGGATGGAAGAGGAAGCTAGATGCTTCCTGAGGAGTTTTGTGGAGGAGTTTCCAGCTGCTCTGGAGGAAGACAGTCCGCTGCCTGGCAGCCCTCTGAGCCGCAAAGTCTGCTTGGAGGAGCTGCATGGAGAGAGCCTGGAACTAGGCCTGAGGCTGCTGGCTGCCAGGTACGACAAAGAAGGACAAGTACACAAAAAGCATTTTACATAATGTTGTATGTCTGAAGGATACTGCAGCACAAGACCAAATAGACACAGAGTGAGAGAATGAATGCCACTTGCTCGAAGTGCTCTTGTTCGACCTGATTAAAGTCACTGTAATACATATGTAATACAACTTGTGTTAATTTCACTTAATTGTAAATAATTTCATGTCATTTTTCAACAGGATTTTACAACAGGGTTGTAAAATGAGATGAAGTTTACACTTCGCACAAGAAAACATTATATACAAAAAACTATATAAAATGATATACTGTTTTACATGGTGCAGTGCTGAGAATGACTGCTCTGCAGTCTGATGATGTGACAGCAGATACTTCTGTATCTTTTTCCAGAACGCAGCAGGGTGAACAGACTGTAGCTGATTGGATAGTGTCCTTTAATATCCTTTGAGCTCTGTATCCAACGAAGGTTAAAGTCAAGGGCAACTGGACTTGGTTGAAGATACTGGATACTGACTTTCCAGTATATTCAACCAAGTCCAGTTGCCCTTGACTTTAACCTTCGTTGGATAACTATGACCTGGATGACTGAGAATCTTCATAGACATTTGAGCTCTGTAGGTACTTCACCTCACTGATGCTCAGTAGACGGGTACCAATGATCTTCTGAGCAGTTTTAATCGCCTGCAGAGCCCTCCTGTCCTGGGCCGTGCACATCCCATGCCAGTTGGTGAATTTAACAGTCAGGATGCTTTCTATTGCTCCTCTGTAATAGCTGACAAGAACTTGGCATGTGAATTTAGCCTTCTTAAGTTTCTGTGCTTTCTTCCCCCTCCCCTGGGGGCTTGGACCCCGTTGATACCTGCTTGAAGTTCTAGTATCGATTATTTTTTGTTTCTCCCATCCTTGAGGCCACTTTTCTTAAATGATAAATGGCAATTTTGGGTTGTGAATTACGAATGTAAGATGCAGAAAATGCTTAGACATGGCTCTGTTCATCAAATCAGCTTTAGATTAATCAAATCACTTGATAATTTATCACTCTGTTTTTCATTTCACATGCATTTTCATCTCCTCCTTATTTCTATTAATTGTATTTGCTTCCACACCTCATAATTATTACTTCATAATTCAGTGGAAAATGAGTTAAAGCTAAGATATGTTGCAGACTAAGTGGCCTAGGAACATGGAGCACAGTAAAACGGCTACTACAATGAACTTTTGAGCTCAGCTAAACTGAAAGTAGGAGCATATATATATATTTTTTTATTATTGTGAGGCCTTGGTCTCCAAAGAGACTTTGGCTCGTGTGCTTTCTCTTCTGCTCACATTTCAGGAAGACTTCACATCCTGTTTGTAGAAACACAATTGTTGGTCCCACCTACTAAGTCCAGCCTTTACGGCGTCAAAAATTCTGTAAAGGAAAAGGTGTGATACATAGCAGAGTTGATCTCACATTTAGACGCACATTCACCAGCGGCACTCTTTAAAGGAACATTGAGCATTGTCCAGTTATGTTTGTTTTGCTAGTGATTGCTTGTTTATGTCTATATTAGGGTGGATCAGTCACCATCTGGCTGTACAGTTGTGTATCACTTGGCTGCCAAGTCTGGTGAGAGAAATCAGACATGTTCAGATCTTGACAAAGTACACAACAAGATATATATTTCTGCTTTTCTCTGTTGGTTCAGGGGTGCTCCTGCAGCCCTCAGTGCCCTCATGTGCCAGGCAGCGCTGTCCCAGCTACTGCAGAATGACCTTTCACCTTTCCATTGCCCCCAGGAAGCTGAGGTCAACCAGGAAGAGGAGCAGCAAGTCTGTAAGTATTTTACTTTATGCTCATTATGGATTAGTGAAACAAACTGTGAACACAACATTAACATATTATCACCTTTTAAAGGGATATTAAGCAATTCTGCAGATATTGTTAGTATTTTAACTCAACTGTCAATGTATACGTCTGTTTGATTCCATAGTTACATGTGTAGATACATTTTGGTGTAAAATGATGTATGCACCGTGAATTTGTGGGATAAAGAGCAACTTTAAGAGAATATTTTAAGATTTAAAAGAATCTTCTCCACTTTACTGTAAATGTACATAATGGCCACTGCATTGGTCACTTAATAGATTGATCAGTAATACTGCATTATGAACACTTTCCCAATTTTCCAATTTTTTATTTAATAAGCTGCTATGCCAATCTAATATTATTATTTATTAATAGGAGTGTGACGAGACACTTAGTTCATGAGATCAAGATGAGACAAGATTTTAACACTTTTTTTTTTTTGCTGAAATATATAAACATTTTGAGCATTAAACAGTTAATTTCCTGCATTCTAGTGAAGTTTTCTGCACCATTTTATGGTGGAAATATTTTTATTTATGTAAAGGGAAACACAAAATTCAGAAGGTGACACTTCAAAGAATTAAACTCTAACACAATCAAGTCAGTGCCGCACTTATTCTGTGCTGCTTTCAGATCTGTTTCTCCTGTAGATCAACTTTTCTCATGGGATATCATCCCATTCATTCATTTTAATTCATTTAGAAACTCCTGGATTTTATTAACTCCTGTGTTTCAGCAGGTTTTCTGCTCCTGTTCAAAACTTTCTGCACATTCAGAATCCGTCCCACATATCTGTGTACTCTGACATACAGAGAAAAAAGTCATAATATTACGAGATTAATGTCATCAATTCATGAGAAATAATTTTAAGCCTGCCTGCCCTATACTGCTGTGCATTACATATATCCCCTTCAGATGGTCTGAAACTCTAAATGTTGACTAAATGTTAGGATGACAAAGAGGTGGAAAGCGAAACTAACTGAAAACACAAGTGATCAGACAGAAATCTCACCAGAAACCCACACACGTTAACTTCAGCACCTCTGATAAAGGGCAGCTCACATTCAAGGTAAGGTTGCGTTTCAGTTTTAGGATGGTTTATAATTCAAAACTCAACTGGCTATGTACCTCTTAGTCACAACTGTCTGGACTTACAGCGCGAGAGCGGGTATACTTGATTAGAATTTGTTGTTTGGTGTGTTCCAAAATGCCTTTATGCTACTGTTCGTGGTTCTGAAGTGACTGTTACTAATGGTTTCTTGGCTGTCGTGTAGGCGCGAAATTTATTGATTTTTTGTGGTAGGAGAGGATGGCTGTCCTGTGTTTGGCACCTGGGCCTATTACCATATTCACCATATTCCATTGAAGTGCACACAGCTTGTGTGAATATGTGATTCTTTTTAAGGAGGATTTGCATATTGCTTAAAAAATGGCTGTTTTTGTGATAACTTACTCTCGCTGTGCTGTTTGCTCATTGCATTGCTAAGACTAGACTAGCATCATAAGTTTTGTTTCAAAGCTGGAATTGTCATAGGTAACTTTTGCAGTACTATAGGAGAGGACACAGTAATCTAATCTAAGATCGGAGTTTGCTTTTTTGTCCCGACAAGTAAAGGATGTCAAAGGGCCAAGATTTAAGAGTCACAGAACACTTCTGGTATGTAAAAGCAAAAAAGTAAACCAAAAGGCTGCGATTTATTTGTTGTTTATTTTTTCTTGCTGTCAGCTTTTCAATCAGAGGCAGTACAACGTCTCTTCCTCAACAAGCTGATAAATGTTGCGCTGGCATGGCATCAAAACTTCCCCAAGCTCCCGTCCTCCCGCTCCCGGTTCCTCCACTGCTCCGTTCATGCCATCAGGAACACAAGGCGTAAGATGGAGGACAAACACTTGGCCCTAGCTGAGTTCAACCAGCTCTTTGGAATCCAGGTACAAGACTTTCATTGCAACATTCTTGTCTTGTTATTCACAATTGCAGAATTTGGACCAAAACAGAAATCAAAACCCCTTCAAAATAATAAAATGTATGAGACTTATTTGACTTTTTTTTCCTGTCTGTCTCTGTACCATGGTCTAGGACGGAGTGGAGCGTGCCTACTTTGCTGTGTTTGATGGCCACGGTGGGTTGATGCTGCGACCTACGCTGCCACTCATCTCCATGTTGTCCTGAT